TAATGCTATCAACAATGGTGCTTGCATGATTTTTATGATTTTTTTAACGTAAATATTCTCCGAGTGTAAAATTAACATTCTCTGCAACTAGGGTTTTTATAAAACCCACGGTCAGTATAGAAAAATTACGAAGAAACCTGTCTTTTTTACCTCGTGTACAAAGGCATGCAATTTCAAAATTGATTGTGCGGTCCAGTTATTTGGATGCCACTTTTCGCTTATGTAATAACTCTATAGCCGTTCTTTCCTGTACATAAATTCCAACACGTGAAAAATTTAATCCATGTTGAGTCATGTGAGAATTATTTTTCAGCCGAAAGCCGGTGCAATTGCACGCTGCTGACGCAAATGAGCGCGATATTGATCTTGAGTAGCACCGCGACTGAAAAATCCTGGTTCCGCGGCCTGATTTGCGGAAATATTCGTTTGAATCTTCTCATAAGTCTCACATTTTTCATCTCAAAAGATTAGCTTTGATGGAGACCGCTACGATTAAAGTCACTCGCGTTGCAACATAATCCTTTTGAATACGCGTGTGGCCTTTGAACTATGACAATATTGTCGTATTCACCCATCTTCGAGGAAAAATTCTTGACTATCTGCAGCCAGTTATGTGCGGTTTTTGGAATTATCTGCAACATGCACAGTAGGATTTCGATTCGAAGAAAGTTGAGAGCAGAAAAACTTGTGTGTAACGGTTCAACCTCTTTCGAAACAGGAATTATATTCTAATTGTTTCTCGCGCTTTGGATGAGTCATTGTTCTCTATTATTAAATTGCTTGAGGTTCATAACATTATGAATTCAGTACTTAACTGAACTGAATTGACCTCATAAAAAAAATAATAATGCCATGCTTCGTTTAACTGTAATGTGCATCGATTTCTAAAGTCAGTGCTAAACATTAATTTTAGCTTTGACTTTAAACTTTAGCGACGCAAGCGAGCATAGCGAGCTGAGACAGCCAGTATTAGTAATTTTGATCCATTAAAAGAGAACTGGCGAAATCTCTAACGAACAAAGGGATGACATCGACCAAAGGTCAAAAATAGTAGGCTCACTTCTCCTTGTCAGATGTAGCATTCTGATTGGTGAGAAGGACAATTAAACAGCGCTTAATCTACACAATAAATATTAGGCGGATATACGTATGCGCTCTGCAAACAGTATCTTCCGCCTCCATTTAGCTCGATACTCAACTTGTATCTAAATTTTAAGGTGTTGTAATTATCCCACGGACCGAACTGGACGCGAGAACCGTAACACTAACTCGCGATTTCGGAGTAGCTCGTTGGTGTAATACATTTTGTTCTATGGATTCAAGACATGAGACTCGCTTGCAAGGAAAAAGGAAAATTGTTATTTCATTACTGCCAAATTTTAACTGTTTTCATTGGATTTTTATGGGTGGAAATTGGTTCCCGAATACGTCATTTTAGAAATCGGTTTGACTCGTGACGAAAAGATGTAAAATTTTTAGGTATTTATGGCGTTTTTGCAAGGCATGTTTAACTAAAGACGGTGGATTTTCTCCAAGAATGATCGCCTTTATTAAATCGTGCAGGGACTGGCAACAGTATTTAGGTAATTCCAGTCATTTACGCTCTTACAAAAGAAATAAAGTATCTGCTTTCTCGTTCGAATTTGCGCGGGTGCTTGTCTGCAGAGCAGTCTTGCATCTCTCTTTTCGAAGACTTTTAAAATCGATCAGTTTGCCAACCGTTGTGCTCCAAAACGTGACTTGCAACGGTGACCCAATTAATTGCGAGTGATATCGCGTTGGAAGAATCTACCTGCTTACAAAAACAAACTTTCCAGTGGACGCTTAGGTGTCAACGAGGTCAATTTGTTTTGGAGCCACGATTAAGGATCACACCTCCCGATTTTATCAATTTCCAGCGCATTCCTCAGCTCTCGATACACATGTTTAGATCATAAAACGAAGGTATCTCTCCTCAGCCTACACGAAGTGCGTCTGAGCAAATAAATCCTGTCGCCCTCTTCATTTGATTTACAATCGTGTGTATTCCAATCCAAACAAAGACGTGGATCGTGGGTTATGTAATTCATGATTTTTATTTCTCCGTCGAACTTCAGGATGAAAGTTAAGGCTCTTGCATTTTCTATCCCCTATGGCGCATCTTCTCTCTCGTAAAATTTCCATCTTTGTTTTCACCTACTCTTGTCAGTTGTTATTATAATGGACGACTAGACTTTATTTTCCTACCTATCTTTCAGGAAGTAACTTCATCGATGATCAAATTGTTGTTGCTCGTCCAGTGTTTTCTTCAAACATCAAATTTTCCTCCCGGAAATGCGAACTCGCACAATATTAAAATTTTTTCTTCGATTATTATGATATCAATAATGACATAATGCACTTAGTGGCAACTGTGCAAGTATCATTCGATCCACTTCAACCTATTTCTTGACCTGCGCATGCCATGTCACGTATGTCCTCTCATCTCGAATTATCATACAAAACGATCGATCGCATTTTCGTCCTCGTTTTTTACTGACCTCGGAGAGGTCCACCTTTCACAAGATTTATGACAGACTATGTGAAATCCGTTCTTCCAGTAAAGTGTAGAACTGCATAACGGGTTATTTCAGTCACAGTTGGATGAATGATAAATGTTATACACTGAAAAAAATAATATGCTGTTTTAGCATCTAGGATGTCAAAAATGTGTCTGGTGAGCCCATGCTGACTTTACTGCTCTCGCAGTTAACTTTACATCCTATGAATGCAAATTCAACTGCGTGGGCAATCAAAGTAGAATCTTAGGACCACCAGACACATTTTTAACATCCTAGTTGCTGAAACAGCATGCCATTTTTTTCAGTGTCCCGAAAATCACTTTTACCATAAGTCTCTCAAACATGTCGTCTTACCCTTCACCTTTCACTGATGATATTGACTTAAAATTAGTCACCTAAATTGACGAGGTATTTCACCGAAGAGTCATCATCCTACCTCTCCCCTCACCCTCATGCACTTCGCGACCATGCCTGTATGGGTGCGACTATTTCGGAGACTATCCCATGCGTCATGGCGTACACAGGCGTGACGTCAAATAGGTACGCGAATATGATAGCAACGTCGCGTCGATCGGGCGGTGCTCTGAGCGGCGTTGCCATTTGACGCCTAAAATCCTTTAATTCTAATTAACACTGTACGACTTATTATCGCGCTGATGGAGCCGCGTGGCGTGGCTACCGCAGATCGCAGGTGTATCCATCTTGGGCCACTTCGTCGCTGCGTTATGTCAGTAATACGATTATGGAGTCTGCAATGCTTGACTCCGCTGCAAGGCTGCCAAACTGTCTCATTAAATGCGCGAATTTGCATTCGGAAAGCGCTGACTTTTCCGCATGAGCTAGTAACATCGCCGCGGGAGTCAATGGGTGTCAGCAACACAGGTTTGCCGGATCGTGCAGTGGAAGGTAGAGCTACAGCGACATCCAACGGGATATATAATTTAATCGAAAACAATGCGATGATGTTGATTGGTTAAGGGCAAGGGGGGTCAGGTGAGAACCGAGAATGCAACCGAACGAAATAACGGAAACTTGAGATAATGTGAATTGAGTTAGTAAATACTACAAGTGTTCCGATAAGGTATCGAGCTTCAGGGTGTGGCTGGCCGTCTCAATGGGTTTCAATGGAGTTTTGAGCTCCCTTCGAGAACTGCCCGGGTTTCTGCGCAGTTCGGGCTACTTCTTTTCAGTAACCTCGCATGAGTTGGATATTTCATAAGTTTTCGGACCGCACGACCGATCGCACGCTCTCTGTGAAGCCTCTGAAATTACAAACCGTTAGTGTCGTCTCGAGCGAAGTTGAGGTGTTTGAACTTAGTCACTCAAAAGTTCTGAACAATAATGAGTCTATCGATGAATAAAACCAAATCCCTTGGATGGCTTGCCATATCCAGGTAATTTTAATATGCTCGTTGGACTTGTGATTTGTGTTGGACTCGATACCGGATTGCAGGTACCTGAAAGTCTAAAGTTCTCCAGACACCGAATCAGCTTTCTCTGCCTCGCTGTATTCGATTTCAAACGGTACCGGAAATTCAACGCTCAAAAGCAGCTTACGTATCGTCTGGTCTTAGTAAGCTCAAATCCACCGACTGGTTTTTGTTGTGTCTTCGAAGATGCATTGCATCAAATGGACCTTTTGGATGAGCCAGGAGTTGTCTTAATTATTAATGCGTCCTTTAACGCCTTGCTTGCCAAAATTTCGAGTGCCAAATCCAAGTTAGATAATAAAAATCATAATTTTATTCTAAATTGAAGCGGAACCGTCGATTCGCTCAGATTTTACGGCTAAGAATGACAATGTTTGGTTTTGAAAAGTTGATTTCGAACATTTTGAGTGAATCGCGTGGAGTTGTAATTTATTTTAAAGGTCCCCTTGAGTTGTAATTTATTTTAAACGTCCCCTTGTGAGCTTTTTGCGACGAGGAAATGATTAAAATTCGAGGCTCTGGAGCTTTTATACCATAGCTTTTCTGTCTTCAATTTTTAACGTCTGTCCATCTGAAATTGGACATATTTATGCTAAAAGGAACTACGTGAGAATGCATTAAATCAAAAGGAAGTATGTGAATAGAGTTTGCGTGCAATACATATTTCTTTCCAAACTTCATTCATCTACACATAGCTCGTTTTAGTATAAATAGGCACGTCCAATTTTAGAAGACCCCATGCGTTTCTGATGTGAATGTATGAACTTTGGCATTCTCTCAAGAATGACCAAATTAATGTGGGATGTGGCTAGTTTAGACAATTACACAAGGAAATGTTTGTCGTTGTGTTTCCTCGCCAATTCTACAGGTTCCGTCCGACTCTTGTTCTTTTTTTTACGATAGTCACGCTCGTGTGAATTTCATTCCTCTTGAATCCAGCCTAATCTCAGCGACATCGCTGGCTCATGTACATGCAATTATGTCCCTGCTCATTAAGGCTCCCCCCTAATTTCCGGATTTTTATTTTCAGGTTCAAACTGCGGATGGCTTCCGGCGAGGATCATCTCAACATTTTACTCATCATCATTTTCATCGTCGCCACAACCAGCAACTCACTCCTCCTCCTAGTTTTCTATCGCAGACCATCCTTACGGACACTATCAAATAGGTAAATAACAAGCAATGAAATTCCATAACAAATATATTTTGAAGCCGCCTCGGTCATTCTAAGAGTTTTCCACATCACATATTTGCATCTGCAAAGTCTGTCAATACCAAACCCAAAATAAGGCTTTTGATTGAATTTCTTAAAGATTTACGAGATGCCTCATTGCCTACCCACTTGTATTGTTGTTAGTTTGAAAGGTTAGTCAGAGTTTCTTGAGGTATGGTAGTTCAGAAAAAGGGAAGATTTCAAGAGAGATTAAAGTTTTAAAATTAAAAAGACTGGAAAAAAACACATTGGGTCTAGAGTCCAGACTCTTGAAAACATCGGCAAGAAAAAATACTCTTGATTCAATCAGATTTAAGCTTAAATCAAGAACCAAGCCTCTTAATTTGAGCGGATTTCCTTTTGATTTGATCTTAAATTTGATTGAATCAAGAGTCCTTTTTCTTGTCAATGTTTTCAAGAGTCTGGACTCTAGATCCAATGTGTTTTTTTCAAGTGAAAGTCAAGTCTAAAATCTTTTAAAAAACACACCCACCCCCACACCATTTAATATGTCAAGAAAAGCCCAAAGAGAACTAGTGTTTATAAGGAAAATGAAAGAAAGATAATAAACGATACCATCAAAATGAACGAAAAGTGGGAAGTTCACCAGTATTTTTTAACTGCGGGCTAAACTTGGTAGAAAGTACAATATACTTACGAATCCTCGAATAGATAACTATTGCCGCATGGAGGATGCTTTTTAGCCTACCTCAAAATTGAAGGCGAAACAGCAGTGTACATAAGCTCCACGCTTCCTTTTTGTCAGTTCTGCTCCCTCTAAAGTTTCAGACTAACGCCACTAGTTTAACGCTCACCGTATTCCTTTGAATCGGGAAGTCTTTTTTCACGGTATATCATTCACCACTCGTGGCTTTTTTTATGGAAATTCCGATATCGAGCCGTTACAGGGATCTTTGGTCGGACGATCCGTCCGCGGCGTTACACTGTAACAGGTGACCGAAATTCCAACCTCTGAACTGGAAGCTGCCATGAATGACTAATGATCACGCCTCGCGGCAATGACCGGGAATTAATGACCATATATGGCTCGAATCGGATGCTATCGGACACTATCTACTCTGCTCTATATCTCCATCGATTCCGCCTTTCCTCATCGCCGGTGTCCATCAGACGTATGCTTTTGCAACGAGCGACCTCGCGGCTCCTGTTTTCGCGGATTTTTAGCTGACATAAGATTTGTCCAACCTATTGATGGAAAATTTACTGATAAAAAATGTCAAATTTTCTTGCCTAAAGCCGCCACTCCACCCCCAGTAGCATTTTTCAACGGAAAAATTGCGATATTTTGAAATGAAGTTGCGATTATTTTTACGAGTTTTTGGCGATAAACTTGTTAGGATCATCATCATCTAAGCGATTATCCTCAGTCTTGCTCTTGTCGCAATTTTTTCTTCATGAAATCGAAATTTTATCTCAATTGATCACGATATTTCGTTCGATAATATTGGGATAAATCGCCGTCGATAAAAATTGCGAATTTATTGCAAATTTATGCGATGAAGTTGCAAATTATCGCCATTTTTTATCCAAAAAATATTGCAATAAATCGACAGCGATAAAATCACGACACACTCTCCGCTCAGACCGCAAATTATAGCAATCGTTGCTGCTTGGTACAAGCCGTTTTTTATTTCATTCAAATGGGCACTAAATTTTTCTGGTATTCTGAGGTTCTTTCATAGCGTGTTTGGGCTAAAGTTATCGACCGGTGAAATAGCTCAGGCTCAGAATAGACGTGGCGTTTCAGATTTTATCAATGACACTTACGCATGATTGGCGATGGGTCGTTTCGGATATTTTTGACACTTTTTCAAGCGTGTGATAAGCTTGACTCTACTAGAGAGACAAGTAGTATCAAGAGTGGTTCACTGTTGCAACATTAGCGCAAATTTTACCTTTATTCGCAGTTACATTCAATTTTTATAGTCTATTTTATTACTCAGGCAAATATTTAGGTGTTTCTGCATTCAGGAAAAAGAAAGAAATTGAACATATGGGATCTTCATTCCGCAGTCTTCAACGGTAGCGGGCTGTGATTTTGCCCCTCGTTTCAAGAATAATTTTCTATATTTTTGATCATCTCCCAAAGTCAGCGGAGTATTTTTTTTTTTTTGCAGATTATCTGCCATCAAAATATGTTACTTTTTCATTTGGTTTTTTACAATCCAATCACATCTGTGACTTATTAGACGCAAATAAATTAATTTAAAAGTAGGGATTTAAAAGTAATAAAAAAGTCGGCAAACCCCATTTCAGCTCAAAGTGGACCATATTTTGCAAGTAGGAACTACTATTTCTGGCTCACAATCAGTTTATAGGCAATGTAGGTACCATTAGTCTTTTGCAAATGAGCCAGAAATTGTAGTTCTCAGTTGGAAAATGTAGTCCAATTATGTACATCCTATTTTTGAAAATGGCACCCGGAAAACTCCACGTCTCATCAGTGGAAATTTTGGCAACCGGATAAAACGGCGGCACTTCTGTCTGTCTGGATGACAGCTCGGAAACCGTTACGATCCGACCGGCTTTTGCTTTATCAGCCTCCGACACTTTAATGTACTTGAAATTTGTATTTATCTGCAATTAATTAGTCTCGTCTTCAACTACATGCGTGCCACTTCCCCCCGCGACGGGAGTTCCCTCCCCCGAAAATTCCCTCGCGATCGCGCGGTCTCGTAACAACATGCTTTCGAAGCATGCAAGCCATGATGTCTCCCGATGTACTTACCTATCTCCTCCACCCAACCGAGCCGACGTTGTCAAATGTACCTGATCTTCTGATCAACTCTTCTGGCTTAGCGGTATCCCTTGACAATTTTTGACACTCCTTGGGGTGTTTTAAGGGCGGCTCATTAAAAAAAAAAAAAAAAAAAAAAAAAAAAAAAAAAAAAAAAAAAACCTGTAACGCTTTAGGATCTAATCGCAAGCCTGCGTTACGGGTGCGTTACAGGTGAAAGGGAGAGTCTGAAGTTGTGTTTAGCGATACTAGTGCTGATTCTTTGAATATTTAAGAAGAAAAATTAACGCGTTGTGGCAATTCACCATTCATCATTACAAAACGTCATAATGAAAGGGGGAGATTCAAACAGAGCGTCGCATATTTTCAGGGGGGTGCCAGTCCGTGTTATGAGAGTGATACGGGGAAAAGAGGGATTCAAAATGCCTGGTTTGTACGTGACGTATTTTATGAACGGCCATTAATGCTTGAAAGTTGCGTTGAATTTAAATTTAAGTAAAATCGGAGAATCTCATGAAAATGTACATACCGCATTGGTTAAAATTGGTGCGATGAACTGGAGTTACCGGTTTTTGCCATAATTTTCTCGTGAGTAGATATATCTTTTCGTGCTCTTTTGTAAGAGATTTGACAGCGCGGTTGGCGAATTAAATAAAATTGATTTTTATCCTCAATTTCTCGTGGGTGCAGGTTAACAGCTTATTAATCGGCTATGCAATCTCTCTTCCTGGCCGTTGGTCCAGTCATCTAAGGTCAACTCTTTCTTGAAATCTGCCGCAGATATTACACTACTGCCTAGATAAGAGACAGCACCGTTCGTAAGTCCGCGCTCCTGTTAGGGTTTTCGATCTGACCTTTTAAATTCTTTAGTAATTTCTATCGGCACAGCTTATTTTTCTCATCTCCCTCGGAAATTCCACAAACATGATATCATCCGACCCGCCGACTTTCAGTCTACTTCGATCGCCGATCTTACGTGATACCCTCAACTTAAAAGTCCAGTAATTGAGCTCAATTGGAGCTTTCCCATTTTTTAATTCGTCATTTTTATTTTTCAATGTTCAACCGGAAAAAACATTTCGTCCTTGCTAGTGATTCCAACAACAACTTAATTTCCCCGCTTTTCCGGTGAATTTCCTTTGAAAATATTTCTTAGTTTGAAATTATCATTTAATTTCCATCTTCCGAATAATATGAAAACATCTATTGAATGAGAGTAGTTTCCATCATTACGTTGGCCAACGCAAGTCTTTGTCAGCGCGGATATAATTTCATTGCAGAAATCTCCGTGCTTACAGGGAGCTTAACTCAAGCTCAAAATTCAATTTTACTTGTTCTAATTTTTAAAAATTTCATTGAGCTAGGTGTGCGTACAAGAATTTGGAACTTCAGACCAATTCTCGTGTATTTTAATACATAGAAATTGCATTTTTGGTGCCATTTTACGAATTATCGATCGGAGTTAGGTTATCCAGGATCTGAAACCCCTGAATTTAAAAGAACGAAAAAGGGAATCTGCTTAAATTGGAATCTCTTCTCTTTCTATTCTGAGACTTCTAAGAATGCTGTATAAAAACGAGGGAGATCGATGTGCGTGGATAGAACTTGCAAGAATCACTTTTAGATTTGAAGACTTGTCGTCATGATTTCAAAAATTATAACAATTTGGTTTTTGTTTCTCTGTTGCAGATTCGTAATCAATCTGCTGATAACGAATTTGGTATCATGCTGGACCCTTCTACCCCTAATTCTAGTCGACAACATCTGGAGCTCGGAGCAGCACCAGTTAGCTACTATCTTACAAGATGGCGCGGACGGAGCAAACCCGGGCGCGGGCGCTCTCTACGCTAACATCATGTGCTACGTCAACCAAGGGATCTCGACAGGGCTCTGCGCGGCCAGCATCCTCTCCATCCTCCTCATCGGGATCGACCAGTACCTGGCCGTCGTCGACCCCCTCCGATACCACTCCCGCATCAACCAAAGCCGCTCCGGCTGGATGATCGCCGTCGTCTGGCTCGTCTCCTTCCTCCTCGGGCTCCTTGGGAGCCTCATCCAGAACAACAAAGCCACCTTCAACGTCTGCGCCGCCCGCCCGGTCGTCGCCGACCCCGGCTACATCGACACCGTCAAGGCCCTCTTCTCCGTCATCTACTTCCTCTGCATCTTCCTCGTCCCCTTCGTGAGCATCTGCATCATCTACATCAGCATCTACACGGCGGCCCTGCGCAATAGTCAGCGCGCCCGGAAGAACGGCTCCAGCTCCGGGTACTTCACGCCGCCTCTAGTCATGAACCAGATCACGACGAGTTCCAGCGACAACAGCTTGAACACGTGCGCGAAAGACACCAACCAGCTGATCAAGGCGGCCAGCAACCCTAGCTTCGCCCCCGGTCAGCTGGCCAAGGCGAACGCCGCCGCCGCCGGTGGACAGGACTCGGAGCTCAGCGAAGTGACGGTGCCGATCCTCCAGAAGCAAAGTTCCGTCGAGTCGAACATCATCAACTTCACCGCCCCACCGACGAAGCCCGAGTTGGTTCACTCCTCGACGAGGTCCAGCCTCAAATCCACCTCCAGCTCGCTCGTGAGCACGCTAAAGTACAGGATATCCAACGCCTCCCTCTTCAGGTATCGCGAGGAGTCGAGAGCCGCCAGAATATCAGTATTAGTAATCATTATGTCCCTCATCTGTTGGTTACCCTTTAATCTAATCCTCTTAGTCAATTCGTCCCTCTTCAAGTTCAGCTATCAAATACCGCATTACTTATTTATATTAAGTTTAGTCTCGCTCGTTCTCAGCGCCATCATCTCGCCCCTGTTGTTCGCTCACCGCAACAGGCGGATACACAACGAACTGCTTAAGATATGTCTAGTTAAGCGTAGCAATAACTTCTACAAAAAGTGTAATAACAGACATAAAAAAATTAACAAAAGTAATTTTAAGTTGAAAACTAACTACAGTCAGACCGCGTTAGAGATCTTCAACAACCACTTAGACAATAGTAATATCTCCGAGCATAGTCAATTAAGTAATAGTAATAAGAGTTGTAGTCCTGACGAGAACTCCAATCGAAGTAATAAGATGAGTTTCGATCTTACCAACTACTTGAACAACTTCAAGAACAAGTTCGACTTCAACCACAAACGTGATAGTATTATATTAGATAGCGACAACTTTAAGATTTACGAGGAGAAGTTGCTGCCCAGCTCGAATGTAAATTCTCATTTCATTCAGATCCCTGAGGTGGCTCTAGATATCGACACCAGCAGGAGTTCTTTCTCCAGCGGGGGCAGTGGATCAAGTTCTGCCTACAGGACGCTGTCCACTACTTCCATGAGTGATATAGTCGAGGACGAGCCTCACTCTCCTTAATAACATAGTTGCCAGACCATCTCATTAAATCGCCGGATTTTGCATCGGACTACGCTCGAAATCCCCCGATTTCCCCTAAACTCTGGTAACTATGCGTGATACTTGTTTTCGTTCTAGTATTCTCTCTCTTCATTTTTGGCAACCTGCAGTTTACCTCACTAGAGTCGCCGTTTCCTTTGGTCATTTGTCTTTCTATTTATCTTTTCACACCATTTTTATCCACGCGTTGAAAAAGGACTAAGAGAGGACTTCCAGTCTTCCTTTTCTACTCATTAAAGTACTGTTGATTTTGGTGATGAAAGGTTGATCAGCTGGACAAATCACCAGGGCTTCTAAAATGGCAACCCTGTTTTCTGAACTCACAATCTGGTAATCGAAGCGCGGGTAATTGAATACATGAATGATTCACCGTTTACCGTCCATTATACTTGGTGACTAGTCCCACCAAAGGGTCTTCAGAATTTTCTTGTCCTCTACTAAACGGCGAATATTGCAATGATTCAATTCCTGAGCTTGAAAGATTCGGTTTTGAAGTACAATTGCAAGCATCAATTGAAAGTAAAACTCGGCGAACAGCCGCCAAAAAATTATAAGTTTAGTTATTATTAATTTGTTGTTTTTTTTTCTTTTGACGATTTTTTTATGATCAATTTTTCAATCTGCATCGGAGGATTTTATGATTTTTTTCTTCTTCTTTATTTTATTGGTTTCTTTTAGATTTTTCTTCACAATTTTGACAAAATTTAAGAAATAGTTATTCAAGAAAATTATACTTTTCTTGCTCTCCCGAAAAAAAAATTAATAAAATAGGTTGAAAAAAATTATTAAAAAGTAAAAACATTATGTTGGTAATGTTTCTTAGGAATCTTGCCTTCCCTGACATCTAGTAGACTTGTCGTGCTATTACACCGAACCAAAAACCGTACTTTGACTGTGGCAAATCTACTCATTCAATCGAAAAGAAGGAAGGAGCAAGAAATGTTCCCCCGGAAATTGGTGCTTGCAATAACCCTTACATATTCAGAGCCAAAAATGGCATGCTTCGACAGATAACATTCAAATTAAATTTCATGACAGGCTTTTCCTCTCTCTATCTTAAAATAGCACTGCTGGTTGTCATTATTCAATCGATGTTCCTTGTAAAATGACATAAATCTAGTATTAGTTAATTTAATGTTGTGTGTTAATTTCTTTGTTGAAAATAATTTATTCGAAAGGGTTTGGTCTCTCTGATGAGAGACAGAAGCGCAATTTCCTGTTGCCAAACTTCAACAGTTTGTGTGGATTTGGAAATGAAAAAAATTATTTTTCTGCAATGTGACCTGTTTATGACTGACTGATAATTATTTTACTTTTATCTATTTATTTCTGTAATTTTATTTCCCGTTAATTTATTTGTTAAACTTACTTTACTCTTCATTCTGAAAAATAATTTTAGTTCAGATGTGTACTGCCGACTGTGAGTATTAATACTTCCCTGAAATGAAGAACACCACGAATTTTTCTGGAAAAATTCCTCTATCAAGATCAAAATCCAATTTTTTTTTCTCCAATTTTTTATTTTATTTTAGCGTTAATGAGTAATCTAGCGCGGGCTTAAGCCCTGTGGATTAGGATTGAACCTCAAACATTTTGATTTTCCATTCTCCGGGATTCTCTTTTCTAGGGTATGGCTCTTCAAAAGCAATAGTCTTGATCCACTAGAGTTTAAATGTTCCAGCTAGAGTCGAGGAGCTCAATTTTTCTATGAAATACTCAAAAAAATTTTGCAACGACCAGACTTTAGATTCTTTTATTTCTCTCGAGTTTTTGTTTTAAAAATTTTCCGATACTTTTTTTTAAATCGAAATTGTTCGATTGGCCTAAAATACTCACTTTCACTCTAACCTGTCACGAACATTCGTGTAAGGTGGTACAAAGCTTTATCTATAATTTTCTCTTGATTTTCCGGGGCTCTTATGGCCACCCTATTTCCAAAACGCTGAAAAACAAAAAATTAAAACAAGGTTTTCTCTCATTTCAGTCGACCAAGGCGTATTAATTAGCGAAACCGTCATGCACAACACGATGTTCTATCAATTTTAAACTGACGTAATAACTTACCAACTTGAGAACAAAAGGCAGTTCACGTCTTATTCCTCGAAAGCTTCAATTTCTTTTCACATGTAAATCATTATAGGTGAACAAGATAGAGGAACAAGATGTCTAGTCCACCCTATCAGGTGCAGCTTTTACAAATCGTTTAAAATTTTTAGAACATTTTGTGTAAAAATTATGCTCAGTTTTACTTAGTAGAGTAAGTAGTGTGGTATTGTTTTAAAAGACTTACTGTATCGTTGTTTACTTTTGCACACATTTTGTCCGCACTCTTGCCGTTGTTGTTTCTGCCCGAAAGCTCCTTGTAGGTAACTAACTCTCAAAATAATACTGTAAAGCCATTAACTTGCCTTTGTGAACCTCATGATGTAGCAAAATTGGTAACATTGTTTAAAGGAGTAGGAAATAACGTCTGGCGGTTCGAACACCCTTCAGATTAGTGTTTGCTCCGATTTATCAAAACAATTCAGAATTATAACGCCCTAAGAATAGAGAAAGGGTTCGGCATTATTATGTAACTCACAGAATAACTTCTCAAAACTAAATTTTAAACTACTTAATTGAAAGAAATGAGATGAGTCAAAAATTACATTAAAAAATCCTAAGTTTTTGTTCTTTCGCCACTCCCAATTCCCCATTTCCATGCAGAATCGAAAATGCGAATGTTTTAAGGGGGGAACATGCCTCGCGTTCAAATTGATGTTATATTGCAGTCATTTAATTGCATCTAATTTTTGCTCTAAAATCAAAAGGAAAGAAAAAAAACATCACTAAATTTTTCAACTATTCTCAGCTTTTGTGCAAATTATTTTCCATTTTTTCCGATGTGTGCTGATCATCTTGACGCCTCCTTGAGTAATGATTTGTCCATCTAAAATGATGGCGTTAGGAACTCCTCTTATCACATTTCTTTCTGATTATTTCAAAGTTACCTCAAGTCATTGGAGCTTTAAAGTTTCAGCCCAAAGAGTCATACATCTGTAAACCAACATGTTTCGCTAAAGTATGCAATGGAAAGTTTTGTAAAGAACCAATTTGAAAAGTTCGTTCTCTTTTGGTGGTTCCTTCACATTAGTATCATCAGTTTCCCCGTGAAGTTAACGTTCATTTGGAATTAATTCTGATGCGCTAAATGTGATTTATCTCAGTGAAATTCTTGCGTGACTATTAAAATATCATTTCGACTTCAAATGATGCATGCAGCAATTTCCCTTTGATTCAAAGGAATCATCCAAAGATGACATAATTTTTATTAAGTGCAGTGAAATTTATAGATCACTACTTCTTATACAAATTCTGTATAAACAAGTTTGTGAGACTTCAAACGCGCAATTTCCTTCGCTGGTTATCAACCGTCAAAAGGAAAATGTATCTGCACATTTTTTAACTTGGTTTCAATGCATTTCTTGTAAAACTGTAAATCAGAATCTTAAATAATGTGTGATAAATATTCCATTTTGGTGCTATGATAATTAATTAAAAACGGTCTCTCCGTTTACAAGATTGTCTCAGATCATTCTTTCAGCTCGATATCCGTCCTATTTGAATTCTAACATGAAAGTTTAGCTCTCGAAATTAAATTTTCAATGCCCGACCTAACTACCATAACAGTTACTTGAAAATTGTTGGCAAGGAAATATTCTTGCTGTATTATCCCTTTTTGTTCAGATTGATTATGATCATATTCTGAATCTATTGAGTAGTGTGCCACTGAATGAAACTGAGACTCATAATTGTTTTCCTTTCTATGAATATAATGTGAACTAAGTTGATGATTGTAAAGTGTAGTATAAATTTGTATTGTGTAATTATATACATGATTTATATTTCAACAAATTACGTTGTTTGCTGTGCAAATACAATTGTTTTTTAAAAAACTAACTTCTGCCTTGGCTTATTCTCTAGAGATTTTATATTCCTGTTACCTTTTGTTGAGTTCACTGGTTTTATTAATGAGCGAAAGTTTAAATCCAAAAATAATTCCAGAAAAACTCAAGTTTAATTTAAAAAAAAAAAAAAAAAAAAAAAAAAAAAAAAGAGTTTATCGTGTCATTTGAACCGAGTTATAAAGAAATCGGAAGCATGCAGTAAACAAATATTTAAAAAATAAAACTAAAAAAAATTATGAGAAAACCGGAGAGTGAGATAAATGACATCACGAGGTAGTTTCAGTAGTTCACCAATTGAAAAAAAATTCAACAAGACTTAGAAACAGGAAACAAAAAGAAACAGATTTTAATAGTGCAGTTACATCAAAAATAAATAACTTGTTCCAAAAAGAGCCCAATTCAAATATTGATTTAAAAAAACAAAAAAAAAATGAATGAATATATAAAATTCCAACAAACAAAAAAAAAGAAATACAACCGAGCCTTTTCCATCAATTATAAATGCAATTTGTACGTTTTAAACCCGCGAAATTGGGTATATTTTGTCACAAATAATGTATGCCTATAATCTTTTCAATATAAAGTGTTGATGAAAATTGAAATGAAAAAACTAAACAAAACACATACAACATTAAAAGATACGTAAGGCCCTAAAAACAACTCTTCCGCAATGAAACGGAATTTTCCGAGTTGGGCAGTTTTCAATACAAGACATTCAATCATTGGTTCCAATACTAGAAAGTAACCGCTTATTACAGCTGTGCTGTGCTGGGCAACTTGAATCACAGTCCTTTTCATAGACCTTCATCGTAAGAACCACGTAATGGAAGTGCCTGAATGTTTTTATTTTACATTTTTTTTTAAAAGTTAAATGAAGGCACTTACATCAGAAAAAATACGCTTATTTCTACTCAATTTAATTCGAAAAACATCAATTTTGAAGTTCAAATTTCTAGGATGGTTTTGTCAGTGAAAACGGCAAAAATTATTGGAAGTTACTTCTGCCATGCTAAGGAAGAACGCCATATCAGCATTTGAACTTTGCCAACTTTTCGTTGATAAAACATGCATCTTTAAGGGAAATTTTTTCCTTGAACTTTTTAAACTAGCGAATTAAAATCTCCAAATAACGTAAGGAAAAATATTCACAATTTCTCCTCAAAATTTGCAATTAACCAAAGAAAATTTGGCAATTCACTGGAAAAAAGTAGCTTGGATCTAGAGTCCAGACTCTTTAAAAAATTGACAAGAAAAAATACTCTTGATTCAATCGGATTTTTGCTTGAATCAAAAGGAAAACCGCTCAAATTAAGAGGCTTGGCTCTTGATCTAAGCAAAAATCCGATTGAATCAAGAGTATTTTTTCTTGTCAATGTTTTTAAGAATCTGGACTCTAGATCCAAGCGTTTTTTTCCAGCGATTCTAAAGGCTCATACGACTCATTTCTACCAGGGTTGTTAGACTGATACCCCGGATATCATTTTTCAGACCATTAAATTGACCAAATTTTGAAATTAAGAACTAAGATTTTTGGCTCAGTTCAATAACAACGTATGTAATATTACTCCTGTGTGCACATAACTGTTTTTACGAATGAGCAAAAAAGTTTAGGTCCTAATTGCAAAATATAGTCCAAATAAAGTCTCCGGATATGAACTATCAGGCCATGGATTTTCACATAGATCATATGGACTGCATTTAGCAATTTGGAACTATACATTCTAGCCCGGTTTAAAAACAACGTATGTGCCATTAGTTTCCCTATGCACATAAGTGTATTTCCGGAAGAGCCAGAATTTATAGTTCCACATTGCAAAATGCAGTCCATATCATCATTTTGACTACGCTACTGAAACTCCATACGAAGGAGATTCAATAAATAGATTATTGGCTAAAAACGATGGGAAGACATAAAATATCATCAGCACTGAAATTACAATGACCGGATTCGAGCGTGTAGAGGCGACCGCATCAGTCGGCGCCAGAAAATACCTCGTCATCTTCTCGGTCGGTCGGATGGTGTTCACGATCCACGCCTTAAAAACATAGATGTCCTCGTAGAGAATCAGAGGGTGCCCACGTCCGCACTTGGTATGAAACAGCCCGCGGGACAGGATCCCAGCTAGGATCTCGTTGGAGCAGAGTAGGGGGCCGCCGGAGTCACCCATACAGGGACCGACCCCACCGTGGGCGATGTAGCAGATCGGGTCCATCTGGTAGACGAAGATCTTGGGGCAGTCGTTGGCGCTCATGGGCGAGACCGTGATCTTGGAGAGGGTGACTATCGACAAGGAATCGTAGCTGTTCTTCTCGCCGTAGCCATAGATGGTGCACGGCTTCCTGGAGCCCGCGAACTTCATCGCCGGGAGCCCCAGAGCAGTCAGGCCGCTCTCGGTGCCCAATGGTAGCCGGGCCTCGGTCATGAGGAGGGCGATGTCCGCACCGCCCTTGTGGGTGTAGTTCGGGTGGATGTGGATCTTGCTCGCCCGTGTCTTGTACTTTCGGTGGAACCCCAGGGTGATCTGGGAGAGTTTCGGGACGGGGGGATCGTCGTTCCGCATGACGCAGTGCGCCGCGGTGATGACCCAGTCCGGGGACAGAATCGACCCGGTGCAGAGTCGCGATTTCCGGTTTAGTGGTTTCCGGTCGAACAGCGGCGCCGTGTAGGTCAGGATGAGCGCGATGAATGTGACGTTGTCCGCCGCGGAAACCATCACGCCGCCGTACATCTTGGAGTCCGCCCCGTCACGCTCGCCCCTCGCGAAGTTCTTTGCATCGTGCGCGTGACGGAAATGAGACTAAGTTGGTTTTGTATCGTCACGTATGCTGAACGGTAAGCTTCGTTAGGTGGATAACTATGGCTGATTTTGTCGATGGCAGGTAATATCGCTCTCGCATTGCAAATATGCGCCTTTTTAACAATATACTCGAAAATGCGATAGGAGAGGAAAACACCAGACGGGTGACCTCTAACGTAAATTCGTCCTGTTACGTATTCGGGCGTAACGTTCAAAGAACGAAGAGCGTGTCTACGTGAACATTCTACAAATGTAGGGAATGGGTGATCATAAGCGAGACGGCGAAGATTTTTAGCAGCAGTTTGAAAGTATGATCGGGGAAAATAATTGTATTCACTTACAAAAGCTGGGTCCTCTTTGCTCTCTATTGAGAAATTTTGAAAATCACAGTCGTCTTCTTACTCCTGCATCCAAGAAAAATGTAAACAGAAATTTTTTGATGTGGCCGAAAAGAACATGCTTTTTAAGAATTTTTAACCTATAAAAATCGATGATAACAAGTTAGGACAGAAAACGCGAGACAGCCTTGTTATCACATTCCAACCTCTTCCGTTGTCATAGATTCTTGGAAAGACCGGTGAAATGCAGCATAAATCAATGCCATGAAATAAGTGCGATGTTTTCTGAAATAATTGTAGAATCTGTGTTGATGATATAACCCATGCTTTATTTTCTATCCATTTATGTTTTTATTTGCTAATTTATTGATGCAATCTTTTCATATTGGCTATTACGGTAAGTAAGTGGCAAAAACTGCATCGTGAAAGTAACTATACTGGCAATCAGCGACATTTTTACGATATCATACTCTATTTAGCGGCGTTTTCTACGCTCACGCCAGGGAGGCAAAGCTTCTCAAAAAATTTGAGAGTTAATTATTATTTTTATTTTTATTTTTATTTATTTGTTATATAAATTGTTCAACTCGAATAGGAAAATAGCCTTCTGATGGAGATGAGAATAAATTACTATTAAATTTATAGGCAACACAAGAGAAAAATATGCGGATTGCTGTTCTAAAATTTCTGGGAATAGAAATTCGATCTACTGAAACTGTTATGCTGCTTGGAGGATGTTTTACGGCCTACCCCCTAAAATTGAAGGCAAAATTGGAATAGTCGTGATATGTGATACCTTCCTTGCGTAAAATTCTGCTGCAGTTACTTCGTGTTCTTTTTCGCTGGAAAAACTCATCAGTCAAATATTGAAAAAATGTGACTTAAAAGATGTACCCCGATCAAGCAAGCTACAACGTAAAGTATCCTTCCTCTACTTTTATATTCTAGATAGAAAACGCCTCTGTATCGTAAACACGAGTTTTGACCTAAATGTTCTAGACGGCCTACAAAACATGTCAAAACGATTATTTATAGGAACGCAAACGTCGAAAAAGGAGGAAATGAAAGAAGTTTTAACCCACTGAATGATAAAAGAAACAAGAATCCTGCTCAGTTCCCGAAATAGAATGTTCCTACAGTTGGCCGTCTGAATCCACGAGACTGTACCTCTGACAGACTAACACCTATCATCTCATCATTTTGCAAATGTGTAGCCAACAAGATGTTATCTGACGTGAAATTTCTGATTGATATCTTCCTGGTCGGATTTTATTTTCTTATTCTTCAACCGTGCACTTAGCAAAACGGAAAATTAGCACTCCTTTCTGCTGGAACCGTTCACCGCTGTAGGCAGTAGCAAAAAAGCTCCGGACGAGAGAGCCATTAAAGATGACGAAGAGGACAGTGGCGTGGCGTGCTTTGCGATATATCGATTGTTATGCCATTTAAACCTATGGTAAAGAATCGATTATTCAGGTGTTCGCTGCGAACGCACTGTTTATCGATCCTTTTCCATAGGTTTGAATGGCATAACAATCGATATATCGCAAAGCACGCCACGCCACTGGAAGAGAGTAGGGAGTGACAAGGTGCGAATACAGCGGACCAGTGAACCTGCCAAAATATCGTTTGAAGTGCGTGAAAACATCAATGACCCCTCTATAGAGTTGCCAAGTTCAACTCCCGAAACGAAAGCTTTTCCTTTTCTCTCGATCATTGAGTGGAAAAAGCGTTTTTTGTTTTAGTATACAGCAGAGGAATTTCATATTTACACTTGCCTTGGCATTCTTCTGAAAAAGGACTCGGAATCTCAAAAGCTTTCTCGGTTTTCCATCAGAGGAGTTTTGTGTTAAAATCACTTATACGGGTTCTATGCAATTTTTTGCAATTGCTGAAGCGCTCAAAAATTGTTTCATCGTCCAAAGGATGTTTAAACATAGCTCGTAATCTCTTCTCTGAACTCAACATTTCGGCCACTGAATCCGCAACAGGGGTCATAGATCTGCAGTGTTAGTAACTTTGGTTTAGATTTGGGGCGTTTTTCCACTCAGTTCGTGTGTATATGTGTGTAAAAATAATGCTCTAAGATCCTGCATGGTGCAAACAAGGATGCAAGTGAGTATCCTAAAGAAGCGCTGCAAGAACACAATAATATTGCAAATTGGGAAAGTAGCCAGCCTGTTCCTTGAGGCCTATTTGATTCGTTTTTCACTGGGAAAAAAACACATTGGATCTAGAGTCCAGACTCTTGAAAACATTGACAAGAAAAAATACTCTTGATTCAATCGGATTTTTGCTGGAATCAAAACGAAATCCGCGTTTATTAAGAGGCTTGGTTCTGATTGAATCAAGAGTACTTTTTCTTGTCAATGTTTTTAAGAGTCTGGACTCTAGATCCAATGTGTTTTTTTTCAGTGTTTGCCAAAACTTAAAAGTCATTAAGCCAGCCGTTCTGAAGAATGTGTTCGATTAATCGATATTTGCTCACTTCCAGTGTAGTTTTACCTCAATATTATAAAACACCGATGTCACAAAAACCAATATTTTACATTGATACGGCTTTTTAGTCTCTGAGAATGTCACTGCTGCGTTACCGGACGCGTTACCCCAACGGACGGAAATTCGAAAACCGACAACGCCACCGGCCATTAATTCGCAGAGCTCGATCCAGGCTCGAACCCTCTTAGCCGCGGATATTGGCTCCCCGCTCTTGAGAGCCGTCGAGTGCGCAGGCATGGACGTCAACTCGACGGAAGTCCCGGAGCCCCGGGACGTCGGCTCCGCGGATTTTCACGCGATTTCTCAACGTCGGCGTATAAATTAGCCACGTCCGAGACGACGCTGGTGTGAGTGTGTGTGGGCGTCTTAATTCGCGACAGTCGGCACTTTGTCCAGATGAAGATGAGAATGGACTCGCGGAGGGAGCTGTGGCTTGCGATGAATCGATCGGTCTGCCGTTTAATCCCGTGGAAAAGGATCGATTATCTATGATACCTTAATAATCGATTTTTTACTATTGCTTCAAATGGAGAAATATCGATTGTCGATGATTTACGATTGGTCGACGGACGAGAGGATGGGGGGAGCGATTGAATCGTGCGAGCGACCTAGCAGGGCATCCGCCCCTTGCCACCTCTTCTCGCCCCCACCCCGCCCTGAGAGCTTTGACTCCCAGCTGTTGTGGCTCATCTCAGGCTGTCTCCACGGTTCTATCGGTGAGAATTAAAATAAAAGAAGAGACGCTAGGTTATAATTTTCGATAAAAAAAATTGACGAGAGACACGCGAAATTTGGACTGAGTTTAATAACAGGAAGGAATCGAGACCCATCGAACTCGAGCTGAGAAAGAGATTTGAAATTGTATTCCTCAGTTATACGCTATTTAGAGATGAAGTTCACCGCCTATTTTTACATTCAAAGTATTTTCATTTGCGGATCGAGCAATTTGTCATCACTGTATTCTCTGCATTTAAACCTATGGTAAAGAATCGATTTTTGGATTGGCCAGGTGCTCTAAGACAGATTTTCAGCACTGGTTAATAGATTTCCTGGGAATCATTATATCGTCAGGAATATAGTAACGCAATAAATGCTCAGAAAAAATTTGCGCATTGGATAGGCTTTTGCTCGCAAATATAAAACTGAAAAATGTTGTAATTCGATGTGATAGAGACGCTTGCCTTGTAAACGTCATATCTTATTCTGTGTATTGAAATGAAGAAAAAACAACATTTTGATCATTCATGCAAATGTTTAGTATGTTTCTTAGCCGTAATCCTTCTCTTTTTTTGGTTACGAATGTCAAATATATTAATTAATTTTTTTCTCAAGAAAACAATAAAAAAAGGGAAAATGAAAACACCTCGATCGAGATACATTTTCCTTTTTTCCACCATCGAAAAAGAAAAAGCTGCAGGTAAATAGCAGGGCAAGCATAGGTAAGTGGACGGACAGCGCACAACCGCGGTCGCATGGCGGTGAATACAACTATACCTACTCGATGGATGTCCGGGTTGCATAGCGCACAGATGAAGGCGCTATACGTAACCTCGCTCTCTCAGCAACATTCACGTTTGCGAGTGAGGTGCCTCAGACTCGTATATGAGGCATAAAATTAAGGATTTTCTTCCAAGAACCAACACTGGTAGCTACAGTATTCTATGTTTGAGATTTTTGAAATAAATGCACTGTTTGTAGATTCATTTTTTCCACGTTGCTTATTATGATATTGTGCATTCTGATATTAAGACATATACCAATGTTTTACTTTCATAAAAGGGGATGGAAACTCTATTGATATACTTAATCCTATGTTAGGCTGAAGTATGATTATGTGTAGAGGCGGCCTCTCTTTTGGGACTTTGGAATTCATTAAAGAAAAATCTAAAGACATAATCGTGTAGTAATTTACGTGGAAATCTAAAGCTACACCAAAATTTCTCTCTGCATGCTCCTTTGATGGCTACATTGTAACATCGTTTGCTCCCTGCGACCAAGTGAACTTTGATCTTTGAACCTTGATTCTGATCGAAAGATAACCATCTGCCTCGCTCTCACTTGATCCTGCATCACAATCTAACTCCGAAAGTCGTAAAAAAGCCTCTATTATCAATGTTTCCCCTGAGATATGAACTTTTCGTGCAATCTTACGTATACAATCACAATGAAAATACTTCGCAAAATACACAAAATGTTATTTTAGAAAGAGATAGAGGTCAAGTGAGAGCAAGTGAGAGTGAGATAGATAATCTTCAAAAGGAGGTCAAGGTCACTCCGACGTCACTTTGATTGGCATCGTTGTAGGAATCAACGGCTCCTGTTTAGTTTCATGACGCACCACCAAAAGAGCCCACGGCAGATGTAAATGTTACTAACCAGTAGCGTGGCGTACATTGCGATATATCGATTGTTCTGCCAGTTGAAGCTATGATAAAGAATCGATTATTAAGGTGTTCGCTGCGGACACCCTGTTTATCGATACTTTTCCATAGGTTTAAATAAATAAATAGAAATGGCATAACAATCGATATATCGCAAACCCGCGGTTGTTGCCCACGAAAGCGTATTTTTCTTCCTTTATTCCGAGCCTGTATTTAACGCCGCGAGCATGAGGAAGGTGCCACTTAATTTT